TGGCTTACAATTTCAGGCTACAGTCAGTACTGAAGGGAATTTAATGCAGGAACTCAGCAGATGGTTACAGCACATCCACCATCACAGAAGAGGGGGTGCGGCTTGTTTGCTGCCCAGCCTGATCTCTCCACTATTTCATGGTTCAGGTCCCCATGACTAGGGAACTGTGATTTCCACTGTGGGCTGGGTCTCTTCTACCATGTGACCCAGGATTAAACTCAGGTTGCCAGGCTTGACAAGCATCTTTATCCATTAAACCATCTTGTTGGCTCCTAAATATACACAGATATTTAAAATTTTATTTATTTGTGTAAGTGTTTTGCCTGCATGTATGTACGCATGCCTTATTCCCTCAGGTCAGAAGAGGACACAGGAGTCCTTAGGACTGGAGTGTCAGATGGTTGTGAGTTGTCATGTGGGTGCTGGGAACTAAACCCAAGTCCTCTGGAGATCAGCAAGTGTTCCTAACAGCTGAACCATCTCTCTAGTCTCACTTATTTATATATTTAAAATACACTGTTTAAGAATTTCACACAACCCAGTGGTAGTATTGCATACTTTTAGTGCCAGCACTTGGGAGGCAGAGGCAGATGAATCTCTGAGTTTGAGGCCAGCCTGGTCTACAGGGCAAGTTCGGGGCAGCCAGGGCAACACACAGCATGTGCTCTCACGGTCAACTCTGCTAAATTTCAAGGTTATAATCAGATTTTAAAATGATAGATCCAAGTTAGAGAGATGGCTCAGCAGTTAAGAGCACCCAGGTTTGAGTCCCAGCAACTACACGGCAGTTTACAACCCCATCTGTGACTGTAGTTCCAGGGGGTTTTCTGGCCTCCACGGACACCAGGCACAAACATAGTACACAGACATACATGCAGGCAAAACACTCATACACATGAAATAAAATCAACTTCAAAAACTTATTTTACTGCATTATTACTGTGTGTGTACATACAAGTATGCTCTGGCATCCATGTGAAGGTCAGAGGTCAGCTTTATGCAGTCAGTTTTCTCCTTCCACCTTTTTTTTTTTTTGGTTTTTCGAGACAGGGTTTCTCTGTGGTTTTGGAGCCTGTCCTGGAACTAGCTCTTGTAGACCAGGCTGGTCTCCGAACTCACAGAGATCCGCCTGCCTTTGCCTCCCGAGTGCTGGGATTAAAGGTGTGCGCCACCACCGCCCGGCATCTCCTTCCACCTTTTATGTAAGGTTAAAGGAATTAAACTCAGACTGTCAGCTGTGTTACAGTGTCTTTAAGATGAGCTGTGTTGCCAACCCCCGATACATTTTACTGTATGGAATTTGACACAAAAGTGAGAAAGGTGAGAACAGAAAGCTTCTGCTTCTTAGACTATGTTTATTTTGAGAAATGAGACTTGAGAAATGTTTTCTCATTTTGAGAAATGAGACTTGAGAAACATTTTGAGAAACGTTTAAGCAACTAAGCATACATTTCTGACTGGAACTACGGACACCTAGGAGAGAGCAAACTTACCTCATGCTTGCCCATGCACCACTTCTGAGTTAAGAAGGTACAGGGGGGACACTTCTCCTCACTATGACAAGAATGATACACTGCAGAAACAGAAACAGAACTTTAGAAATAATGCCTAAATAAGGTCACAAATACTATAAACAGGCTATAAATGTTTTAGATCCCGGAGTTAGGAATTATTCTAAATGATCATGAGGAAGTAGAAACATAACTGGCTTTATATCTGAGTACTGGAAAATGAGCATCTGGGGCTAGGAAGACGGCTTAGCAGTTAAAGTTTGTTACTCTTCCAGAAGACTCAAATTTGGGTCCCAGTACCCATGCCAATGGGTCACAACTGGCTGTAACTGGCTCTAGGGGACTGACTGTTCTCTTCTTGCCCATGCTGGCACCCATACATGCAGCAATTACACACACACACACACACACACACACACACACACCTTTAGAAAAGAAAAATGAGCGAGAATGAGAAAAAAAGCTAAGGGAGAGAGAGAGCCACTTGGTCTGCCCGTGCTTCCGTGTGAACCGGTAACTAACGTCCAGACAGCTGTCATCTATTCCGTGTAAGATGCTCTGCTGTGGGCGGCACAGATGGCACAACTCCTGGCACCCACATGGTGGCTCACAGCCATTGTAAGATCAGTTCCAGGGAATCGGATGCCTTCTTCTGGCCTCCAGTCACCAGACATGAGGGTAGGCAAAATACCCATCCATACAAAATAATTTTTTAATGATTTAAATGCTTCTATTGATTACTTTCAGTGCCACAGATTAAGTGAATACCCTATCTAAGCTTCCAATACTCCCTCATGTGTTTTAGGTCTCCAACACAAGGCTGCGAGCTGGCCCAACTGCATGTATAGGCATTTGACCACTATTCTCTAACTCTCAGGAACATAAGACTCTAGTGATGGGAGATTTTTTTTTCATTCTCTGAAGTTCCCTCTGACCGACACCATGCTGGATATTCAAAAGACACTCAAGAAAATGAAAATGAATGCTAAACAAAAGCAGGTACACCACAATGTATAAGTTTTAAAGGTCTTACTAAGGATACCACCCAGCAGGATTTGGACATCATCTGTAATTCCTGGAAGCTAGTAGAAAAGAGGGGCGGGGCAGGAACTGGCCTGGACACTGCATGCTGGTATGATGACCAAGAAAGGAATTTACAAACCATGCCGGGAAGATCACTCTAAGTTTCCTGAAGAAAGGTTTTCTACTTCATGATAAATTTGTTTAGTTCTGTTTTACTATATTAAATTAAAAAACTGAGAGCCAGCCATCTAATTTTAACTCAAATCACATGGCTAGACTTCATGTAGGCATCAGATCCAGGGCCCTGAGTTATTTTGTGGGGTTAGTAAGTAAAACAACGAACTTATGCTTATCAGTTCCTCTGAGATCGGAACCGTCCACCATCCCAGAAGCTCCTGAAGCCAGAGGCAAACTAACTCAGAATAGTTTCAGGAAGTTCCTGAAACTGACCAGATTCACTAGGTCCCTTGGTCCTTCATTCCTTCTCGGAGTCAAAAAAAAAAAAAAAAAA